TACAGCCCAACTAAATATCTTGAGCAAGTTACTTCATTCTAAACTATTTTCCTCTTCTGTAAAATTGGAAGATAAGCCTCTATGAGGACTGAGTTTGAGAGGAATCAGGGAAAAGGGACTATGTTTTTAGAATCAAATTTCCTTACTAACCTTTTCTACTTCCTCCGAACCCTTCTAAAATGCATGGAGCTAAATTTCCTAACTAGACTTTCCTCTTTCTTTCTTTCTTCCTCTTTACTTTTTCCCCTGTTGAGCTGTTGGATGGTACCCAGTGAGGAACTTATCCAGTGCTCAGCTTTGGGCTGACACACAGGCAAAGATGATCTTACATGTGTGAGCCAGGCTTTCACTATGGTAATGTGCTTTTAACAGGGAGGATTGAGCAAATACACACACACACACACACACACACACACACACACAGATAATGGGTAGCCAGACTTCTCACCATTGGACACATATACATATATCTATAACTGGTTATTCACACACATTGTCTAGTTCTCTCTGTATAAAAGCAATGACATTCAAAGAGCAATGACTGTCTCTGGTGCTCAGGTTTTTTTCTAAATAGTGCTCTCCACTAAAACAAAGCAAAACAAAACAAAACAAAAAATTTCTTCACAGAAATGAATGACCCAAGGGTAGGATGGAAAAACACAAGATAAGCCTGGCACTTCCTATGCTAGAAAGTAGGAAGCGATCAAAGAATGCCATCTATGGGTCCAGTCAACAGAAGGAAATTTAAAATCAGAATTAACAAGTTGACATGAGAACAATAAATTTAAAAAGAGAACTAAAGAAAAAAACCAGAGAAATAAAGCTTTTGCAAATAGGAAGGGTAACAAGATTTAGAGGGAGCAAGAAGGGAGGGGAGAAGAAGGGAACAAATAAAGAACTAAGATTTGTTATGTACATATACAAACTCACCTATGATAAACATAATCATTTTGTACTGCAAACATGTACAAAGAAAAAGTAATCATAAATACCAAAAAATGATAGTAATACATTTTAACCTCTGGTTAATAGGAATCTGTACTGAAATAAACAAATAAATGAATAAAAATACATCAAGGATAAAAGAAAGCTCTATCATGCAACTGAATTCCAATTAATAAACTTGGAGTGATAACGTTAGAAAACTGTCTGCTGGACAACTGTCTCCTTCATTGTAATAACAGATGTAGGTAAGAATCATCAATAAAAGCAAAATCTGGCAGGAGAAAGTCTGATTGGGAGCAGGATATTTATACAGTTTTAATGCTCCTCCTCACAAAGATCATTCATTCTTTATTAATTAATAATAAGTATAACATATTTATTATTGATTAACTGTAAACAGAGAAACCTGGCAGACATTTCATAATAAAGAGACAGAAATGAACATTCCAGTCATGGAATAAATTGAGACCACGTAACTCCTAAAGGGATTCACAAAGAAGAGCAGAGCATCACCTCTCTGGTGTTCTGCAAAGGCTCATAAGCTATGACAACACACAAAAAAACCCCAGACTGAGGGAAACTATACCAAGTAACCAGACTGTCTTCTTCAATTATGTCAAAGTCATGAAAGTCAAGGAAAGACCGAAGAACTATTCCAGAGGGAATAAAACTTGAGGGAAATGACAGCTAAAACCAAGAGCAGTCTTGGATTGGATCCTAGACCTAAAATAAAAATGGTTTGGATGAGAGGTGTAGTTCTAACACAGCTGATGGACAACATGGTGTTAAAGACTGAATGCATGTGTCCTCCAACTTTAGTACGCTGAAGCCCTAGCCCACAGTGCAGCTGTATTTGGGTTAAAATCCTTAAGATTAATGAGGCCATAATAGTGGGACCCTGTTCGAAAGGGATTCGTTTCCTTATAAGAAAAGACATCAACAATGTTGGTCACTCCTCTCAGCAATGTGAGAACACAAGATGTCAGACTGCTCCAGGTGAAGGAGAATGCCACCAGAAACTGAATCAGTCAGGACCTTGATCCTGGATCAAGAAATGTGAGAAATAAATCTCTTGTTGTTTGAGGAAACTAGTCTAGGTATTTTGCTATGGTAGTTCAAGGTGACCACACGTGGTAATAGTAATCTATTACTAAGATCTATTAATGTCCTGATTTTTGATGCCTGTATTGTGATTATGATGGGGAGAATGTCCTCAAAGGGTGCCAAAAATTTTAAAATTCAAGAATGTAAGTGAGGTATATATAGGAAATTTGTGTATTACTTCTGCAACCTTTATGCAAATTTTAAATTATTTAAAGAAAAAAATTGGCCATTAAATTACATGATGTTCTACCCACTACATTCTCAATATAAGTGAAAAATACCGAAATATATCAATTATCATCTAGAAGTATTTCATAAACATGAATTGTCATTTTATATTATGATTGTATGATACACATTTTCCTTTATTAAGGAGAAAGCTACAAAGTCCAATGCCCCTGTATTGCTACTGACATTATAGTACCTAATGAAGGAATAGTTTTATTTTGCAATTACAAAAAAATAATAAAAAACTAGAAAGTCAAAACAAAGATACTATTACTGACGTATTTATCCTGCTACCTAAAGGTGCATGGAAAAGGTGCCTGGAGAAAAAAAGTGGTCAGAGGAAATGTACTGTTGGCTTCACAATATGAATAAACACAGTATGACTTACACAATGTGAATAACACAATATGAATAAATCCAGAGTAAAATGGAGTCAGAAATACTTGAATTTTAATGCCTCTGTCATTTGGTGGCCCTGTGACCACAAGTTAATCAATTACTTGCTCAAAGTGACTATCATCACTAACTGGACTACTACACTTACCTCCTACATGTTCTGCTTCCATTCTTGCCTCCCGCCATGACTTAATCCATTCTCACCAAATAACCAATATCCTTTTTCACTGTAAATGGAATCAGATCATATCACTCCTGTGCTTTAAATACTCTCTGTAGCTTCCCTTGGACATGGCTTCAAAGGGTTTGTATTCTCAATCCTCTGTTCTGACCCCATTTCCTTTTGCTGTTCACTCTGCTCACTATTCTGGAAACACAGTGGCCTCCTTTTTGTTCTATAATCACATCTAGCTCTTTCCTGGTTCTGGGCTTTTGTATAACCTGGAATTGTCACTGCATATGTAGGTCCTTATCATGGTTCAGAATTAGGCTCAAATGTCACCTCTTTAATAGGACCTTACTTGTACCTTTTCAGAAAGACCTAACTTTACTATTGCTCCTCATCAATCTCGATTACTTAATGCCATTCCACTGTTTTCACTGCACTGACTGTTTTTTGAAATTCCCTTAGTTAAATGTCTGTTACTTGATTATCTCCTTAAGTCAGTAGAAAGTGAGTTCCACAAGAGAAGGGATCTTGTCTGACTTGTTTTGTGCAATAGCCCCAGTACATTGAAAGTGTCTGGCCCACACTGAGGGCAATAAACAAATACATATTGAAGGACAGTTTCTCAGGAAACTTCACTTTTCCTCATCTACAAAGTGGGGATAATTAGACTGTTTTAGCTGTTAGAAGAAATAAAGCCTTTTTCTAAATTCTTACTATGGCTCAGGCACTGTGAAAATCACTTTACATACATACTCTCACTAATATTATGATTGTAGTTTTATAAATAAGGCCACGAGGTTAAATAACTGGTTTAAGGCCAGGGCCATGGTGAGGCAGAAGGCAGAAATGTCTATCCTCAGAACCTGAGCTCTTATACTGATAGAGTTTCTAGAATTTTTACAGGAAATAACACTGGAGATAAAATATGAAACATTATCTCTCCCAACCTGTTAAATGTATGATACACCGAGTTCTTGTTCTCTAGAAATCAAAGAATGAGTCCTAGGAACAATGGAGGTTAAGAGTAGGAAGATATTTATTGATAGGAAAGCTCCTGAGGGGCAGAAGGGGTCCCGAGTGGGTAGACCAGGGACCCGACCTTACTGAGAGGAGTTTTATAGGGTGAAACCCATGTGGGTTCAACGGGGGCCGCAGCCATGAACATCCAATAAGGTTACAGTATAATCACTTAGGTAACAGCGGTCCAACCAGGAACGAATCACGTAACAAGGGTGGATGGAAAGAACAAGGATTCTGCTAGGAAGTAGTGGGTCCAGAGGTCTCTGGTCACCCACCAGGGTGGTTGATGTCTATCTAGACTTCATTAGGCCCAGTGTTTGTTCTTTGACGAAGTATGTAGGTCTGGTCATCTTGTCTTTATCTTGAGGCCTGGTTTTCAGCCGCTGTGTTTCCGGTCGCCAATGTGGTATGTTTCACCTTTGTCCTGACCCTCTGGAGGACCTAGCCCTATCTGACGGTCTGTAATATTTCTATCTAACTCATCTGTCTATAATAGAAGGATTCTTTCTTCTATTTCTGCAAAATCGGCTGTCACCTACCCCCCTCCCTAGTCTTTGTACTCTGGGACAGCTGGGGGGAAAAAAACATAAAACCCTAAAGGACGTTCCTACCTCCTTCAATTCCTATGCGACCCTCAAAGCCTGGTCACCGTCTTCTGAACAAACTTCAGTCTGCCATGTCTCTCCAGATGTGATTTTCATTGGACAAAGGGTACGGGGGCGTCAGAGCAATGGAAGCTCTGGGTCTGAGAAAGTCCAGATGCCAAGTGTCGGAGAGGGAGGGCTGCGGTTATCACAGAAGGGCTTCAGGACAGAGGCGACCCCTGAGCAAATACTGGGGAGGGCGACCGGCCAGGGAACTCGACACAGAAGTCCCGCGGGAGATCTGCCTGTGGGGCCGCTAGGTCCCAGACAAAAGGAGGATGCGGGGTACAATCCCAAGCGATGATACGCTTGCAGGGTGAGGAGCGAGCCGCGTTTTCCTCAAGTACAAGAGGCAGTAGAGGGAAGCAAACTGATGGAATAGCCAAAAAGCAAAACGCGAACTTACCCGCACTCTGGCAACCCGGCCTCCGTAGCCCGATTCGAAGAGCCGCCACTTGAGGAGTGTGGTAGCCAAGGCAGCAGCAAGCTCAACGCAGATAACGCGAGACTAACAGGGCCTCGCGAGATCTGACCTCTCGTCCCTGACAGGGGGGCGTTCGGTCCCGGGGTTATGGGAAGGCTCTGGTGTCCGGAATGGAGATGCCTCGCTTTCGGGGGCTGGCGTTGGAGCCACCCTGGATCCTTGACCAGGGTTGCGGAGCGGACAGAGCCGTTTCTTCGCCCGGGATGGAGGGGGACGCGAGTTGCTGAGAGGGGACTGAGGCGGCTCGGGACGTGGAAGCGCCCGAGCCTGGCCCGCGGTCCGAGCGGGGAGACACAGTGGCGGCCGAAGAGCACTAACCCTTTCACGCGCGCGCAGGAGGAGGACTGGCGGCGGCGGAACAAGACGGTCCTCACCTACGTGGCCGCGGCCGCGGTGGGCATGCTGGGGGCCTCCTACGCCGCCGTGCCCCTCTATCGGCTCTACTGCCAGGTAGGGGAGGCGCGGTCAGGAGGGGCACAGTGCTGGATCCTATTGGAAGGTGTGTCTCCGGTTATCCGCCAAAGGAAGCGGGTTCAAACTGTGACTTCCCCAAGGTCACCAGGGAAGCGAGTGGAAAGGCTGCAGGTGGATTCCTAGGCCCCATAGTGATCGAGTTTGCACCACGTTGCAGAGTGAAATTCTCCGATCTGAGCTACACCTCACCAAGATCTGTGGCTGTACTAACACATTCATTCTGCGAGCCACATATGGTTTATGTGGTAAACTTAACCCTGGAAATGAGAGCTCTGTACTACTACTTGTGCTACTGGGGTTAGCCTTTGGGAGGGTCTTTTCACCTGAGGCATGAATTAGGCTGTTCCTGTTAATAGTATAACTATTATGTACTTACCTTGGGCTCCCTTTTAGATCACAACTTGTAGTGCAGTGGTTCTGAGTGTGGTTCCCAGACCAGCGTCATCAACATGACCTGGTAATCTGTTAATTAAAAAGGATTCAGATTCTTGGGACCAGCTCTAGAATTACTGGATCAGAAACCCTGGAGGGCGGGAACCAACAATTTGTATTTCAGTACTCCAGCTGATTAAGAGGCGGACTGGTGTTTAGAAACACTGGCAAAGTCTAGCTTCCCCTACTTTATGGATTTCTCCTTTGTTCTTTACTAGTTGTATGCGGCTTTGGTTGGGCACTGGATCACCTGTGAAGCTTTATGCCCAGGAGTCACCTATCCAAGAAATTCTTATTAAAAAGTCTGGGACAGGGACCAGGAATTGCAATTTAATAGTAAAGTCACAAGTGAAAGCTAAACTTTGTGTTCATTCATTGAGTGTTGAAGGTAATGATTCCTAAATATTGTTCCACATTGGAGTCACCTAGCGAGCTTTCAAAAATCCTTATGCCCAGCTGGGCACAGTGGCACATGCCTGTACTCCCAGCAGTGAGAGAGGCTGAGGCAGGAGGATGTAAGTTCAAGGCCCACCTGGGCAGCTTATCCAGACCCTATCTCAAAATTTAAAGTGAAAAGGGCTGAGGATATAGATGTAGCTCAATGTGAAGGCTCTGGACTCAATCCCCAGTACCCCCCCGCCCCCCCAAAAAAGGTCCTGATGCCCAGTTTATAGGCCTTACCATGTAAATCCCAATGTTGAGTAAGGGAGCCAGCCATCAGTAATTTTCAAAGATTTCTCAATGTGCAGCCAACCTAGGAAATCACTAGTTTTTCCATGACTGGTATTTATAGCAGGGATTGACTGCTCTTTCCTGCCACCACAGTGAATGCCTGGCTTATTTCCCCTATCTTTTTTTTTCCCCCCAGTACCTGGGATCTAACTCAGGACTTTGCACTTGTGAAGCAGGTGCAGTGCCATTGAGCTAAATCCCTGACCCTCCCCTATCTTTATAGAGACCAACTTACTTTTCTTTTGGATGGTGAAGCAGCAGAAGTCAAAGGGGCTTTTAAGTCTCCTAGTGTCAGTATTTTTGTGAAACGTGCAATAACTTGATTTCAAGAGGATGAGTGTGAAATATGAGTTTTTCTCATTTGAGGCCAGACAGGACCAGGTATAAACTCCAAAGGTACTAGTTGGTTAGATCATAAGTAGAACTGAATCCAAATCAAGTGTAGATCCTACTCAAACCACCATGGGCTGGGAATGATTCTTTCCCCCAGGGAACATGACACGATGTGATGTTTGAGGACAGTTTTGGTTGACACAGCCTAGGGAAACCGAGGCATAGGGTGCTACAGGCATCTGATGGGTAGAGAGTAGGGATGCTGCTAAATATCCAATACTGCATAGGTCACCCACACCCTCCTAACAAAGAATTATCCAAGCTCAAATATCAGTCTTGTTGAGGTTGAGAAACTTTGCTCCAAACTATAAATGGCAAAATTGTGTGTTTCCATACTGCAATTGTAGGGCAGAAAGTTAAGAAAAAGAATGTAACTTGTAATCCTAAAAATCAAATAGGATGCTTTAACAGTGGTATTTCCAAAAGAACATGTCTGTTATTTCTGTAATCACAGAATTTTAGAACCAGAAATACAGAATTATTTAAACCACTTCATGCGGAGACTTCATATTATTAGCATGTAAAATGTAACCCAAAGAAAGTAAGATTTATTCAGTGGTCAGAGCCCTTTTCTCTTTATTTGTTGTTAATTTTAATTTCTTGAATCACTTAACTTAGAAATCTGAAGATCAGTGTTCAAAAAACTGTATTAAGGAATCTTGAGGGAGGGACAGCTACAAATTTTGTTAATCAAATGACTCAAATTCTTTACAAAAAGGAATTACCTCTCAAACATTATAGCCTTCTTAGGTAAAGGTATACATACCTACCTACCTGTTAAACAAGGATGAAGACTTGTTCTCTGCATCTTCTAGGGTTATACTGTGATTCAGTAATGTTGCATGGCAGTTGAGTGAAGCAAAGCGACTTGTGCAACAAGCAAGACAGTAACACTGTATTTTATTGGGAGTTTTCCCCTCGACTCAAATTCTTTTTATTCCCCCTTATAGCATAATAACAGGTAAATTATCTGGAAACAAACTCTGGCAACCTCCAGCATCAGAGAATGGTTTTATAAGGACTTTTAAAAAAGGATCTAATGATAAGGAAATAATCAGCGATGAATATGAGCATGAAGTGTCAGGGACAATTATTCTGATCGGTTGACTGTGACAGGTAGTGGCTAAAGGAGTCAAGTGCTCCCATTAACTGGTGATACTATAAAAGTTGCATTATGTAAAAAAGTAAAGAACATAAAACATAAAAATATTCACCTATGTGGGAAAATATGATGCTTCAGAAAAGCAGAATATAGAAGTGAAACTACAAACTAATTTGGATTATAAAAGCTATGATATGGCAGAGGACCAGAAAGGAACATGGAAAAGTGGATACATTTAAGTATTTTCATTGAAGTGATCAGGTCATGAGTAAATTTTTTGTTTTGTTTTGTTGGTGGTATTGGGGATTGAACCCAGGACCTTTGCACTGAGCTACATCTCAGCCCTTTTTATTTTTTTTTTGAGAAAGGGTCTCCTCATGTCTCTAAGTTTCTTCCTTTTGTTTTTCATTTTCAGAAAGGGTCTTATTAAGTCTATAAGTGGCCTAGGCTGGGCTCAAACTTGCAATGCTCCTGGCTCAGCCTCGAAGAATGCTGGGATTACAAGCATGTACCATCACACGCTTTTAATGAGTAATAGTCAATTATAAGATACTAGCAATAAAAAGAGATGTGTTTAATAAAAAGCTATGCTTGAAATTCTGCATTCTATTTTCAGTGATAAACTTCATCAAGACTCTGTTTCTCCTGAATGACTAATTTTTAGCTCATTTTAACTGAGGAATTGCTGAAAAGTAGGAATCACTTTAACAAATACAGGCTCTTTACACCCTAAAAGTGGGCAAATCGTTGACAGTTATAGGAAATAGTGATAGTATGTAAAACTGGCTCTAATTGGATCATTTTTAAAATGTTGTTATCCACTAAACAGATCAGTGGCTGAAAGTATTTTGACATATTTAGTATCTTTTTTCTAGACTACTGGACTTGGAGGATCAGCAGTAGCAGGTCATGGATCGGACCAGATTGAAAACATGGTGCCTGTTAAAGATCGGATCATTAAGGTCACCTTCAATGCAGATGTCCACGCCAGTCTCCAGTGGAACTTTAGACCTCAGCAAACAGAAATATATGTGAGTGACTAAAGCAGCCATTGGAAGATTACTTGTTTTAGTGCAAAAAATGTTTTGTCACAAACTTTTTCCACTCATTGAAACTTAATTTCAAAATATAGATTCCATGAATAATTTTATCTCATGAATCTTATGATTATTCATGAATCGGTTAGTGTTTTGAAATGACTACTTTTGATAGTGCCCTGATGTTACAATATACTTTAACCTAACGTAAAAGATTATGTGCCTTAACTTTTAAGTTACTTAATAGTAAATGTCAGTTTGAAACAATGAAAAAGATTGTCTATTTTTACTATGGCTTCCCGGAATTCTCAGGTATAGATGATACATGAAAAATGTGAAAATCACTGAAGAGAAGGGAAGGAAATGGGAATAAAAGAGGAATTAAAATATATTATGTACAGGTACAAATCCCCTATGTTGAATATGATCATTATATCTAAAATGTTCCAATAAAATTAACTTTAAAAATACAGCAAAAAATAGATTATAACAAAAGTGTTCCTGCCTCCTCAAAAAGAGAAAAAAAAAACCTGGAAGACTTTTAAGTAATAAATACTTACCTAGTATTAGTAGATGTCACATTATAATCCAGGACGACCTAATCTGTAATTTTTTTTGGTACTGGGTTCAAACTTAGGACCTCATGCTTGCCAGGCAGGTGCTGTGCCGCTGAGTTACATCCCCAGCCCTAATCTGTAATTTTGACTCACTGCAATCCTGGGAGGATTTTAAACTGAAATACTCTCATTAACTGAGGATTAGCTGAGAAGTCTTTATTTAAACCCTTACTGAAAAGCCCGTGTAAATTATAGTACTTGTCCAGTTTAGTAAACATGACTGAATCTTTAATGATTAATTTTATGAATTTTGCTTATTCTAATTACCTGGTAGTATATAATATTAACAGTGAATTAGTATAAGTAACAATATTCTTTGGGAATTTTTTTTAAGCCTTGTTATTATTTTCCAACCATTAACAATTTTTGGTTAAGTAAAGACTGCTCAGTTAGGTTTACTCTGGTTATAAATTTGATTTACTATGATCAAGGTAAGTTTTATATTAGTATTCTGTTTAAAAAAAAGAGTCAATCATAGCTATGCGTAGCAGCACACACCTGTAATCCCAGCACTCTGGGAGGCTAAGACAGGATTGCCCTAGCCTAGGGAGTTTAGCAACTTGGTGAGACCCTTTGTCAAAAAAAAGACAGAAAGGAAAAAAAAGGTCAATCATGACATTTAGATTAAAGTGCCATAAAGTAGTTAGGCTTGGGCTATGATATGCTTGGCTTGTCCTTAGACACATTTTAAATAACATGCAAATTATTGCTTGAGGACCTCAGATATGCAAGAGGATAACCTATAAGTATGTATAACAGAACACTGGTTCTTCATTAACATGCAAATAAAATTTGAAACTCAGGTTTGGGTAATATTCACAATTTATTTTGTTGAACTTTGTATTAGTTTAGATTGTATGTTACAGTCTGATGAACAGGAAAAGAAATATGGCTGTAGTTTAGTAGGGAAAAAAAAGTGAGCTGTTTGAGATTTAAAGTACTGATAATGGGTATATGTTTAAAACAGGTGGTACCAGGAGAGACTGCACTGGCATTTTATAAAGCTAAGAATCCTACTGACAAACCAATAATTGGAATTTCTACATATAATGTTGTACCATTTGAAGCTGGACAGTATTTTAATAAAATACAGGTAAACACAATAAAACACATAAGCATTATGTGCCACAAACTTTGACTAAAATAAATAAAATGAAAATGGGGGAAGGGGATCTAGAAATGGAGGGAGGGAGTAGAAAGTAGAGGAAAGGGAAAAAAAGAATAAAGATATGTTAAGTACATGTAATTACTCCCTAAGATGAATGTAAACATTATGTACTGCTAACATGTACTAATAAAAAATGAAAATAAAAAACAGGTAAATCGAATGTTAGCTATTTAGTATGAAACTTACTAGAATGTTTTAGTACATACTTATAATTTCTGCAAATTCATTTCTTCTAAATGTCAAGCCACTTTTATCTTCATTGTTTATGTTTGCTATGTAGACACTGCGACCCAAGCCAAATGAATTTCTGCTTTTAAGATTAGAACTGATTTTCAATCCTTAAAGTAAAACTCAGTCTGAGATGAAAATGTGGTGTTATTCTATCACAGAATTTAACCTCAAGAAATGAGTTACTTCTTTGTTACAGGTAACAGAAATGTATTAAACAAGTACCTCTCTATGACTTTTAGTGCTTCTGTTTTGAAGAACAAAGACTTAATCCCCAAGAAGAAGTAGATATGCCAGTGTTTTTCTACATCGACCCTGAATTTGCAGAAGATCCAAGAATGGTGAATGTTGACCTTATCACTCTTTCTTATACTTTTTTTGAAGCAAAGGAAGGACACAAGCTGCCAGTTCCAGGTTATAACTGAAGTAGCATCCAAATCCCGCCTCCGATTTGTGATTTTTGAAAAATCATGTATCTTGTGGAGAAATATTCTACAGGATGAATTGCAACCTTCTATGTTAAATGGTTATCCAGTGAATTTACCTCATTCAAAATTGAGAGAACAGATTCAGCTTTTATCATAAGAAACCCGTAAGCCTCTGTAAAGTATGTGATTGTTCAGTAACACACTTAAGAGTTTGATGGTTCAAAATAAAACAAAGCTGGCGGAAACTGAAAGTGAAGGAGGAATCACTAAGCCCTAATGACTTGCTCAAAGATTACAAACTTATTTCAAATTTGATATTGTTTTCCTTTGAGGTCTAAGGCTATTGTCCATTCAAAATACTGAGTATTATAATTACATTGAAATTGCTTTATCATGAAATTGAAATAAAATGCAAGAAGTACATCTACTAGGCTGCTAGCATTTACCATCATAGTTCCAATTGACTGAATGTGAAAATCTAAGGATAGGATCATGACGGTTTACTGATATAGAAGTAAAAATTCTTCTGGGAACAAAATTCTGTAAAAAACAATTTATTAAATTATTTTAATAGTAATTTATTTGTCATTGTAATTTATGTAAGTGAATGCACAGTTTATTCAAAATGTTTACCAGTAGTCTTTGTTCCAAATAGAAATATTAATTATAGTAAAAAGGAAAACATTTAGCATTATAAAGAATCATATTTAAAGGCCATGTGATGCAAAGTCTAGTGATGTTTAGGGCACTTGAAATATAAACTACAATCATCAAGTCTGTAACAATTCTAAACCAAAGTATTATTTATAAAGAAGTGAAAATTGACTTTTACATTCAATTTTAGTTAAATGAAGGCACTCAGTATTCTTCCTGAATAACACATTTAGTTTCTCACATTTCCTGCTTACATCTTCATCTACTTTTATCACAGCTATGTGATGATTTCTTTTCTAAAAGCAGGAAGGCCTGTACATCATAAGATACTGTGATTAAACTGGTTGGCCTAAGTACTAAGCCAGTTTTCTTCTGTTCAAGTTTTAAGTCAGTATTTGTTACACCCATGTTCTACTGAAGTAAATCTTGAGTGTTGTCAGGAATCATAAATGTTACCCTGAACTGTTACACTTCTGTTTAAACCTCATGATGGCAGAGGGAGGTGGTCAGCTGTGGCTTTCACATGTTGGTAGGTCTTGTCTTTCAGGCCTCAAAGCTGGACAGGGATTACTCTTTAGGAAGCTGGCAATCCTGTGCTGCTAGTGAACTGATCATCACTTTCTCCTAAAATAAAAAGAAGAAATTGGCCAATCTCCACCTGTTCTCCTGCACTCCTTAATAATTCTTCTTTGTCTTTCTCTACTCAGGGGCTAGAAAGTGGTTGTCAGGTGGACAAAAGATGGGAATGTGCTTTTTCTTCCATGGAGGAGGGTATGAAGTGAATAAATAAAATGAATAGGTCAGTGGTGGCCAGGTGTCCATTAGTAAATAAACGGGATGACCAGTGCAAAACAAATGTGAAAAACTCAGACTTCTTTAGAGGACTAACAGTTAATAGGTTCTATTGGTACTATTCAACAAGTATTAATTTCATATTAAAGCCAAATGTCTAATTTCCATAATAAGGACTTTTTCTATTTGTCTTGTTTGTATTAATATTTCTATACTATAAACCAACTTGTGCATTACCAAGCTTCATTATTTCTAGCTAATAAAGAAAATATTTTATTAGTTCACAATAATTCATGACAGTGTGAGTGATTCTGTGTAACAGTCTCACTAATCTGAGTGTCGATTCAGATGTCCCTTAAGAACTATAAATACTGAGTACAAGAAGTGATAATTACACTGAAATTATATGGGCTGTGGAGTATAACTTGTATAAGTTGAAGCTTTTACCTCAACAGTCACTGTTACTTTGAGCTCCTTTGAGGAGATGAACATCAATTTCTTCATAAATAGCTCTAAAAGAAACAAAGGGTTATGTATCAGTTTCGAAGTTCTGGGATGCTTTGTAATTGCCAGCACCATAAAGAAAACTAGGGTTGTATGGGGAGGTCAGGTGGCATCATTGAACACAAAGGTCTTTGTCTTGAAGCTTGGATTCTAGCTTTCTTAAATTGTATTACGGTTCCCATGCCATATACCTTTCAAGAAAGATTCATTTACTTTTGATTTAAAGGGAAAATGTAGCTCAAATTTTGGACTCTTGGCTTCTTGCTTAAAAAATGATTCAGCTTGTTTTCAAAACATTTTTTTAAAATATTACCATTCTGGCATATTTAACCTCTGACTACAGTCTAGTCTCCTGAGCAACCTTTAGACTAACTGTCATCCTTGCATCTTTGATAACATACATTTTTTCTATAATATCCTTCAGTTCTTTATACTCGTATATATCTTACATAGGTCTGCAGATAGAAAATAGGTATACCTAACATGACATTCATATACTTGTACACAAAGCATGGCTGAAAACTCATAAAAATTAGAGCACTATGAAAGTGTAGTCACCAACTTCGAAGGCCTCAGCATCATGTGCAGTTTACTGTGTGTCTCTAGTTCTGTCTCTCGTTCTCTATGAAATGATTACAACTTTCCCTCTCAAGCCACTGATCTCTCTCAGAAAAAAACTCTTACTAAATTAAGCATCCTAAATGTGAAAACCATCTCATTTTACCATCATCAAATCTTCAAGTCTGTTTTCCTCTGTATTGTTCTATGCTTCCGCTGCCCTATCTACTGAGTTCTTAAACACTTCTTTAACCATTCCCTCTTCCTGAATCTTCAGCCTCTACCTCTTAACTACATCCTGGCCTTCAGCTTTCATACATGCTCTCGTATGTCTCATTTTGTGTGACAACAGTACATTCCTTCATCCTATGTCTACTTGGAGTAATCACATCAATGCTCTAGTTGCCAGAGTGCTTCCTATTATCCATGTTTAAATTCTAGTAAGTTACATCTGTATTTACTGCCTCTATTTTGGTTCTTTTTTTTTTTTTTTTTTAGTACCAGGGATTGAATTTAGGACCTTGTGCTTGCCAGGCAGGCTTTGTGCCACTGATCTACATCCCTGACCCTCGGTTCCTTTTTAGCGAACTGAAATTTGGCTTCTGTCCCCATCAATTCACCAAAATGACTTTTACTAAAATCATCAGTGATTTCCATGTTACTTAATCCATTATCTATGTTAAATTCTCAACCCACTTGTCCTCTCTCAGCAGTGTTCATCACAATTATGCATTCACTTCTTCTAAATTAGTTTCCACATCTGGTATGACATTCCCTGTTAACTTTCTTTGGTCTTGGTTTTGGCATTTCCAGTTCTTTGAATCTCCCAAAACTTTCTTCTGGGTCTCTGTACAAGGTGTTTCCTCAGTCTCCCATACTCTTGATCCCAAACGTGTCACTTGACCATAAATGTTGCATCACCCTTTCTCTAATCCCCACTTGAATTAGTTCTGTTATATACTCTCAAGTCACTATATTCTTTTATGCCATTACCACAAATTATAAATATGTATTTGCCTGCCAATTTGGTTAATTTTTTTCTTTCTTTTTCTTTTTTTTTTTTTTTTTTTGAGACATGGTCTCAGGCTGTCCTTGAACTTCCCAGGTAGCCCAGGCTGACCTAAAGGCAATCCTCCTGCCTCTGTCTCCCAAAGTGCTGGGATTCTAGGTATGTGCCACCATGCCCAGCTCAATTTGCTTACTTTCTGTCTTCACACTATTATTTAATTTCTGTGATGACAGGGAGTATAATATGTCTCTTGTCCAGCATTATGAGTTAGGCAACAATCATAGTATTCAATAAGTGAATTGTGTGTGTGTGTTTGTGTGTTCATACATATATGCTCTACTGAAGCAAAACTCTTAACCTGGAGTTCATGGACAGTAAGTTTTCTGAAAACACCAGAACTTTTCTATACGTTTCTGTGCTTTTCTTCAGAAGCTTCCCAGATTTCATGAGACTTTCAAAAAGAAAAACAGTGATAAGAGTTCCAAAGCTTCACTTCTCCACTGTCTCTACTGCTGCTCCACTGTCACTCTCAGCACCTGTGATATGACCATATCTACTTAGAGCTATCTTTTAATTAATCTGAATATAATAACTTTCCCCTTATCTATCGGGATACAGACCCATAAAAACATTAAGTTCTACAAAGCATACTTGTTTAGTACCACTTTCTTTAGCCACTGATATATTCAGTGATATATCTACTTTTATCAAGCAGAGGGATCTAGGAAGTTTTGTTATCCTAAGTTAGGAAAAATACCTAATAGACTCAAGTCTATTAACATTCATAAATTATTCCAAAACTGATGACTACGTTGAGGGTTTAAACTAAAACATCAAATGCCCGCACATGCCAGGCAATGGACAGATGAAGGATCTGGTGGACCTAGTGTGCTGCAGAGGACTCCTGGGATACAGGAGACAGCTACTACTCACCCCAGCCACTGCTGGCATGGAAAAAGCCAGGTCTGCTGTGGCCAGAGCATACAAAAGATGGAGAAGTCCAGACTTTTTATTTTTAAATATACCAGCTTTTATAACTGTTGGCAACTGTTAGATTATACATGTTAAATTCTACAGAGGGAAACCAAAACACATCTTTGAACAAGATACAGCCTGCAGGCTGCCAGTTTCTAACTTGCTTTAATCATCTAACAATCTGAAGGTTAAGCTCCAGCCACTCAAAGTATATTAAGGCATTAACGAGCCTGCTATGTCATATATACTTGACTGATAAGAAATCATAAAATAATGATACTTTAAGGATTTCAGGTTAAAAAGCAATTTCTACACTAATGCTTCACTAGTCCACTTTACACTGTTGGTGGTGAAACTAAAAAATTCTTATGCATGTTATCTTTTGATTTAGTTCTCAAAGGACAGTTAAAATCCTATCCTAGCATTGTGCCATTATTTCAGCAATCAGTGAACAGTGCTCTTCTCAAGCTAAAGAGAACCTGATTTTTCTGCCAATACATCTATAAAGAATCCATTAATATACACACTGGTTCCAGTTATTTTTTAATGTGCAATCCTAGCATTTTTATTTTTTCAGTTGTAGGCCAAGAGCAGTACAACCATTAAGAGCCCAGCCACCATAAAGCTTCATGAATCATTTGCAATAAGACCATCAATTTCTGCTGAGACCTACAAAAAGTTAAATGTATAGCCAAGTCCTGGAAGCTCTTCTATCAAAGGTAACCAAGATACAAATTAATAATTTTGTAAATGACTTACTCTGTAGTGGCAGCAGGAGCTAAGGGGTCAAACTCCATTACCTCGTAGTAATTGGGTGGCTGGAGATCATTCTTTGTCATCACTTTAGGTGAAAACAAACCATAAACACATGCTTATCAAGGTGTATACACAAGACTTTCTTATTTTTAATGTAACAATATTTAATTTGGATTTCAAACACAAGAGTCCAAGAAATACAACCAAAACAAGCAGACTGGTGCTCCGATGCTTCTCCCAACTTCAACAAATCCACAAGTAACAAAAAACTGTCCAAACTTCAACTAAAGGCCTATTTACCTTAGTGTTTCTTACTGTAAATACAGTATTTCAGTTCAAAACTGGCTTTTTTATAATGTTAATCACAGTAGTATCATCCTTGAATACTTGGTGTAGGTTGAAAATGCAAATGGGCTCCTCTAACTTCTATTTTTGATTATTAATCTCTGGCACTTGCATATATTCTCCTCTTTCCTTACCGGATGCACGTAATAAGGTCTTGTGTACCTGGCTGATTGTTAGGCGGGGATGGCGGCCCATGGTTCGATGGTGTGGCTGTGACGTTCTGCAGACTAACTGGCTGAAGTAACACTGAACTCGAGTTCTGTGGCAACTGAAGAAAGCATAACACATGTTCAAGCATACACTGCTTTAGCCGTTCTTTAAAATTACATTTCTAGGCTTCCATGTGGCACTGTTCCAAGAACTATATACACTCAACTGGATATGAGCTAGTAATTTTAAACTATTACTTTAAACTATTCAAACTTTAACCTTAAAAACTAAGGTAATAACTTCTTATAAGATTTACTACTTCTTTGCCAAGTTTTTATTTTTTGCTGTTCAAGGTATTCACATTCTGCCTCACATTCACATGCTCATTGTACTCTATTTTCCATATAAAATACTCACACATATCACTATACACACACACACACACACACACGCACACACATATATTAATTTTTTTGTTGTTGGTTTTTTTCTTTTGGTACCAGGGATCGAACTCGGGTCCTTGCACTTGTGAGGCAGGTGGCATATATTAATTTTTTAGAATAAGTAAAATTGTATGGCTTGATCCAGATTCTCTGTTGTTTCACTCAGAATGTGAATGCCTCAAACAGGAAAAAAAAAAACCTTAAATCTACAGAAAGGTGCACAGCGATACTATTAAGTCAGGACTAATAAAGATTAAACTCGTAGTGAGAAGTGTTTATTGTAATTTCCTCACTTGTTCCACAAATTTCTTCTGGACAGTTACTAACTGCAAGGCAGTATTAATAAAGCAATAAATAAAACAGACCAAGTCCCTGCCCTCATGCAGCAAAAACTAACCAACATAAATCATTTTCAGATGGTATGTGCTAC